AGGGTTTTTCTGGATTAGAGATCATCAATTTAAATCTGGTAAGATGGCATGCAGAAATTATACACAACTAAAAATATTAAACCGTTATTTATGAAATAAAGAGCAATTATGATCTAAAGGGTATCAAAATTTACAAAAAAGAAAGCTTAATATTAATTTGTTTTGTTTACTTTATTAAACATTTCTTTCAATGCAAGTTGTTTAGGCTGCTTTGTTTTTTGTGCTAAACGCGCATGCGTAAAACATACAAAAAAAACATTTGTGGCTTTAAGGTCCGGATTATAGATCATTCCGGATAATGGAAGTCCGGATTATGGACTTTGTACTGTATTATTGATCATTAACATCATGATGCATATATATAAATTAGATCCCCCTTATAAACTGCTGGGCATATATACACAGATCTGAGAGGATCTATATGAAAACTGGCTTTAATTAACTTGCTTCCCAGGAATTATGGCCATATTGCTAAGATAATATCAGAATTTGTTATTCCATGAAGAAACTATATCACCATGAATTGTATTCATCCCAAGTACTCTACCATCAACTTCATAACTGGGTGTTTATAAAAAGTTGTATTATGTTCTAACTGGCATTTCAAAGGCATAAATCCTCAGAAAAATCACCAGAAATATAGATAAATTATATCAGTACTGTGGACAGTTAGTTTATCTAAGTAAGGGGATGAAATTGTGGTCAACATTTTATGAAAAACTATCTCATGCTTGCTTTACATGTAATGAAAATCATAAATAATTACACTCATTTACAATTGCCTACTGGAAACTAGATCTAGGATGAATTACCATTGTTTTACAACTTTAGTTGCTTGGTTTACATCTCATTGTGAAACGATTTAAAATAATTTTCAAAGAAAAAGTCTTATTACTCTTATTATTATTATATTGCTGTATACATCTTAACAAAAAAAAAAAAAAAAAAAAAAAGATTTTAAACAAAGTAGCAAATGACTTCCAAACCCAGTGAAATTTCCCATTTGCTATTCTTATAAAAGAAGTGTAGTGACCATTCATTTTGAAATTTATTCCATTTTGAGAGGTAAATGGTACAGTGAAAGTCCAGAAATCTGCAAAGCTTGGGGCTCGAGGTTGTGCGTATTTTTTAGGATTTTGTGGATTTTCAGGACAGAAAATAAATCATAAATATCAGACTAAAGTGCAAAATAAATAACGGCATTTAGATAAATTTTATTAATTATTATAATACATTATCATACTCATTAGTGCATATACATTAAGTATTATTCATGTAAATTATTTATTATATTAATTAATTAGTGATTAAAGGATATTTAAAACCATTAAGGACATATACAATAAAGATATAAAAAATATGGGATATTTATAATGCATATTGTTTTTTCCTGTATTTCAAAAATTTTTCTGATAGAGATTTGTTTTAAAACTTTGGGGTGCTCTGGAGTAAGTTTTTTGTAAATTTCATAGAGTCATAATCTCTTGCTCTGTCACACAGCTCTGTTCTAAAAATTTTAGGTATTGTTCACCATGTTCCAAACCCTCACTCATTAAAAAATGTTTTCTCACTCCTATCAAATTCACTACCTGTGTCAGTGTTGGAATCGTTTTCTTGCTGTGGCGATTCAAAACGCAGCCAATGATTTAATCATTTATAATCTGATATATGCCAGTGTTGGCTCATCCTGAACACATCATTTATTCAACGATATCTTCTTGCAAAGCCTCCTCATTTATTCTTTCTTTCAAATATAAAAGTAATTCTGTTGCTTTAGCCCTTGCTGCACTGACCCTAAAACCCAAAAATTCAGTGTCATCATTCTCTGTTTCAATAAAGAGAGAAGATGGCTCAAAATTTACTAAAGAAATTTAAAACAGAATTCTATGATTCAGATAACAAATAAATGCAGAATTTTTATTTATATAATCACAAAGTGAAATTAGAATGGTCACTTGAAATTTTTTTTTTCCAGAAACTCTTGATTTATATTGGCATTTAATAGTGGCTGTGTATTATGCCGTGGTCCATTGGTTGGATCAATGATGTAGTCCTTGGGGGCAAAAAGGGGGGCTCATGACATTATCACATGTTAAAATGTTTGCATTTGGATGTGCAAAGCAGTTGCCTAACAATAGCAAAATCTTACAATTTGATGGTAATTCCACACTGTTACATCTCTTCTAGCCTCTTTTTAGAAATGCTCCATGAACCATGGTCATAAGTTGTTTTGTGAACCAGGGTTTTTTATTATTCTTGTAAATCACGTGTAAGGATTTTACTCCTTTCAGAGCTCTGGGATTATTGCTCTTATGCACTAGCACTGGTTTGGTTTACATATGTAAATTCCAGCTGTATTGCTGCATACTAAAATAAAACTTTTTCTTTAGCTTCTTTCATCCAGGACGGTGTACTTTTATCGCTTGTCGCAAATGCCTTTCTTGGAAAACATCGCCAAAAAAGTCCAGCCTTGTCCATATTAAAAACCTGTTCTGCCACTAATACAGAAAATTTATCAATAAATTCTGCAGCATCTTTATCTGCTGAAAGTTTTTCCTCATGTGCTTTCAGATAACGTATACTGTGTCTCTGCTTAAATCTGCCAACTGCTGCTGAAATCGCACGCCTCCTCTATTTTTAAATCAGCATGAATCTGCTTTACCTTTTCTCTCAGAAAGGGTCCTGAAATGGGTACCCTATCACTCTGCCGCTGCCAGAACAACCCCTACAAGACAGCATCGAGGTTTACCGATTTTGCCTCATGCATAGATTTCTGGTTTTGGATTCCAGTGTTAGAATCACTGTTGTTGCTGTAAAATTTCAACAGCTTTTCTTTATTTTTCCATGTATCATACTCAGTTCATGTCACAATTCCATACGATTCTCCTATAAACCAAGGAGTAGTACCTACCTGTATCTTTTGCAGAGTTTCCACTTTTTGCATTGCCGTCAGTGCAACGTGTTTATGTTTTTCATGAATGTGTTTCTTATCCGTCATTGTATTAAAAAAGCACTGAAATTTAAAATATTTTTAATTTATCCACAAAGTATCTGGATAAAAAAAAGGGCAGCCATTAAACAATCTTATGAAATAACAAAGCTAAAAAAATACAACAATGTGAATAGTGAACTTGAAAGAAAAGTTGAGTGAATCATCTGCTTTTTTACCTTGATGCAGATTGGAGGGAAAAATAATGTTCACCTTGATGTCAAATTTTTGTTATGACTTATTATTATTCGGTAAGTACTTTTTTCTTTCGCGCTTATTTCGTTTCGCCATTGTGTGGGGGGGGTTTGCTTGTCTGTAATGGTTATATTAGAGTGTGTATGAATGTGGTTTTATACGCTTTAGAGGCGATCGTGGCACAGGTCAGGTAGAGATAGGAGTCGGGGAGTGATTTTCGTATGGACTTTTTGTTATTTTTCTCTATCGTGGGAAGGTAATATTTCTATGGTACACATATTTTAACTAAGGGCTCATCACGAAGCGTTACTGAATTCTTTCGATGACTAAAGGGAAGGTGTTATTTTGACTGGTAGTAGGCGTGGGTGGCGGGCTGGGTTGCGTGGGTTGGGTAGCTAGGGTGTGTTGGGCGACAGTGAGGGTGTTCGTAGTTGATGGCCACTTTATGATATTAAGGTGGTGGTTTTGGGGCGGAAATTGGGGTGTGGGGGTGCTGTGGTGTGGGGTGTGGAGTCGGGTGGGGGGCGTGTGGCCGGGGGTGTGAGTAGCCGCGGTGTGATAGTCGTCGTGCGTAGATATTGCAGCGTGGGGTGGAGAGGAGGAGCCTCTGAGAAACTCGGGCGACCAGAACGGGGAGGAAGGGGCGGGCACGATCCACGGCTGTTCGGTGTGTCTTGGGAGAAAGAAAGGAAATGTGTAGCGGGATTGGCAGGGGCCAAAGGGGGGGTTGTGGTCGCGGGGCTTGGGGAGGGCGGGGGCGGGGGGCCCGTGGTAAGAGGAGACGGGGGGGGGGGGGGAGTAGGATGGAGAAAGAAGGAGCATGCGTGGGAAAAAAAAGAAAGAATGGGTCGATGAGAGATAGCGAAAACAGATTTGGCAAGAGGATAGGAAAAGGTAAGAAACGAATAATAGAAGGGGAAAAAAAAAAAGAAAAAATCAAAGCACGAGAAGGGACTCTGGGCGCCGGACAGAGATCCAGCAGTAAGCAGTACGAAAAAAAAGAGACCAGAGACCAGTGTAGAAACTCAGGTATCACTCTTGGGGCCGGTGGGTCAAAAACTGGAGCAGAGAAAGAGGAACAGGTAAACTGGTGGGCGGGTGCCCAATAACTCGGGTAGTAACGAAGATAAAAGAAATGCGGTGACCCGGCAAAAAAGAAAAATGCAACTGAAAACCTACATAGTGGTAGTTGGTGGCGGTGTGGTGGAGGGAATAGAAACAGAAAAAAATGTGATGATTTTTTGCTTTTTTTTTTTTCAAAAAAATTTGTAAGGGAAGCGGTTAAATTTGCTGCTTCTGAGATTAAATTCACTTCTGAAACTTTTTTTATTTGCTGTATAGTAAGTGAAAAGGCTGTTCCCTTGCCATGGAATCTGTTCTCATATATAGCAAAAACTGAGAAAATCATGTATAAACCTAGTTTCTTTGAAAAAAAGCTCAGTTAAAAAACTTCATTTTCTTTGCTAATTGTAAAGATGTTAACAGGAATGTTCAGTAAAGATGTTAACAGGAATGTTCAGTAAAGTAAAGTAATGAATAAATTTCAAGATAAGCATAATGAGTGTTTAGTTTATTTCAAAATTAACATAATATCATTCCTTCAGCAATCCATTCTCGTGTGAAACAATAAACTAGTAAAATAATATGTACACCTAATTTTTTAAAAAAAAAAGGCTCAGTTTAAAAACTTTGTTATCTTTGCTAATCAAGATTCTGACAAGAATGTTAAGTTTATTTCAAGAGTAACATAATGTTAAATGTAATTATTAACTTTTTTAAAATTAGTTTCTATATGTTATTTGATTTTTCTTTCCAGTGTGGTTCGAATTCCATCCAAAAGCACAGAAGTTTTGCTACTAACTCATCCAGCATCTGCTAGTCTTCTGAAGCACATTACTGTCAGAGTGCTAAGTGGTGGAATTTCAATCTTTGGGTATTCAATGGACTGTCAGAGTTCTCCTGTGAAGTTGTTTTCTTCCAAAAAAACTGGAATTATTAGCCTAAATACTGAATATTCGGAGTCAATGTGGAAAAACAGAGATTTGTATAAAAGTGTGAAAAGGAGTTTGCAAGCTATTTCATCTACAGAGACAGCCATGGAAATTTTAGCTGAGTGTACAAATTCAACAGTGATAGTTGTTCTTGAAAGATGCCTTTATCCTTCCCCAATACAGTTTGTTAAATTGTATTTTTCACATGTGTTTCACTTTAAGACAAAACCTCAGAGGAATCAAGATCGTGCTTTTTGTGAATTGAATGGACAGGGATCTATTAGATTTAGTACATTCTGTGATAGCCTTGCTGAGAAAATAAATGAGTGCATTCGTAGGTCAAGTAAGTTTCCAAAAATTCACCAAGTTTGTTTGTTTACTAGTTTTTCTGACAGTATTTAATTGAAATATAGTTTATCAATTTGTGTGTTCTTTTGTCTCTATTCTAAATTCTGTGTACAGAAAAACTGTATCATCACTCTCAGTCATAACATGTATTTATACTAAAAATCATATGGGTTCTTATGTATTAACACAGCCACCTTATTATATTATGGTGATTTTTTTGCTGATCAAATGGTAAAAGTTACTTATCAGGTGGAAGTTGATGATTTTTGTAACTTTTTTTTTAAAGGATCCCAAAGTATTTATTTTAAGTGGCAAACATAATCAACATATGAAAAGGAAATATACTTTAACAAATTAAAACACAAATTTTAATCATTAAGTCAGCATTACACTGTACATTAACAAAAATAAAATACTTACATTCATCTTAAAATCTTCTGTAATTTTTTTATTCTGTTCTTCTTCCCAAGTACACATCAATTTGTTTTTGCTTTTAAAGGACACAGAATTTCAGAGACGTGGCATTGCACAAACCTCAGCTATAGCAATTATCTGTTCTTTTAAAAATATTTTCGGCGAAATTCTGTATTCCTGCAGAAATTTCACCGCATCCATTGCTGACAAATTACACAGTGCATATTAATGTTGTGGTTTGTTTATAAAAGCCATTGGAATACAACAAAAAAATGATGCATCCAGAAATGGCAACATTGCTTGACTGAAGGTTAGAGCATAGGTTCCTGAAAAGTGGTTATGTGTATGTTTGCTAGAGTTTGTTTATTCTGAAAATTTGGCGACTTCTGTTAAGGTGTTTACTTATAACACATAATTGCCTGCATGTGGGTGTTTTGTTGTGATATTTTATTTTGACCTGTTTGTACAGAATTTTAGATTAATGAAATAAATATATAAAATATTGGGAAAATAGGATGTACACATCAATCTGTTTTTGCTTCATTGTTCGCTCATTTTTTTAATGATTTTGCAAAGGTTTTATATATCAAACAAACCTTAGAATTTTTTTTCCTAGTATGTTCAATCTTACAGCCTCTTTGTTGAACCATCATATTACATCTTGATTTCAAAGATAAAAATTTTTGTACTTTCCTTATTTTAAGTTTTCCGTTATAAGAGAATCCAGTAATAATTATGAAACCTTTAGAAATTTTTCCTTGCTGTTTCTGTGAATCAACATATTAAGTCTTTTTCTTCCCTTTTTTTTTTTTTAGTAAATCAACTTCTATTGCCATCAGATAAGCATATCCAAGCCTCATCAATTGTAACTATGTATTTCCATTTTTCACCTGTCAAATAATTTTTGTACAGCAATCTACACATAGTCTTAAGCTGAGAAACATGTTTCGGTGGTAGGCAATGGACATCATGTTTTTTTTATTATTATTATTATTATTATTATTATTATATTATTAGCTTTAAATCAGATTTTATAATTTTAAGCTTTAAAACAGATTTTATAATTTTGTTCACAGTTCCTACAGAGATATTTAAAGATTTTGCAATAGCTCTTTGGGAGTTGAATTTTCCTTTAAAACATGAGATGCAAGTTTAGATTTAATAACAGGTGTGCGTACCTTTGTTGGGTATGCATTTGTTTGCCTTTCTCCCAGTCAGATGAAAACTTTAATTGTTCTTTCCTTTCATATTAAATATGCCACCTATTTTGCATGCAGAAATATTAAAAATATGCTTTTCACATATTTTATAATAATTGAATAATAGTATTGCTCTTTGAACAGTGCAAAATAATAGTCTTCAATCCATTGTTATTTTAAAGAAAATAATATTTTTAATACTACAGATGATAACTAAACCTAATTTCAGTTTGATGCCAGTCATGCTTGTATTTAAAAATTAATATTGAAATTCATGGAGAAAATCAAAATCGTTACAAAAATGTGTAAATGCAAAGTAGCAACAGAAAATATAATGACTTATTATTGAATTAGGAGAATTTCTGTTTTTAGACTCTTTATATTACTATGCGAAAGAAATTTCAGTACTTATATGTTTAATGTGACACAGAATATGTTTACTTAGGACGAGGAATGTGATTTTTACCTAAATATGTCATCTTTGTTAAACTAAAAAACAAAGATGCAAATTTGATAAGTGGCCCATTTTTTGGATTTCTGCATCTGAATTTCTGATTGATTCGGGAGGTCTTATATCGAACGTTTCCAAACAACAGTACACATATTTCCAAGAATTTAAATGTGTTTCAAATTAGGTGCATGAAAAAGAAAAAGTTTTTGTCAAGTACCACTAGATATCGGTATATGTTAGAACTTGCCTAGCTTAGTTCTTCAGGTTTGTTCAATGAGCTAGCTCTTGAGGTTTGTTCAATGAGCTTTTTTTGTCCACTTTAGCAATATAATTTTTTTTTAATCTTCATTTCTCTGGTAGTGGAACTCAGAGTCAGCATATATAGTATTATTCCAGTGAACTGCAGTGCCAATTCGGCCTTTCAAGTTCTTTTTCACATTTATGTTTCTGTTAAGTTATTTGGTAAGTCATAGGTCATTTGTGATAAGGTAAGAGACTAATATTGAAGCTTTTTCTCATAATTGTTATGAATTTTATGCATAGGTAGATGATTTTAGTGCAATTATATCTTAAATTATTGTATATTTTTGTGTAATGTAACTTGAAAAAACTAAGAGAAAAGCTATGCTGAAAAAGTAAGAATACAGGGACAAGTGTATTTAACATTGAGTAAATGGGTAACTCGGTAATTTGACGAGAAGTCACCAAACTTAGTGACATTTTGGTCCAGTCCCTGTGTCACTGTAATAGATATTGTAATTGAATAAATGTAATTGATCACGATATTAGCTACAACTGTAATTCGACCGTTATATTACTTTCCAGTAATGTCGAGAAACAGGAAGTACTAGAAATATCTCGGCGGCGAGGGGAAAACTATATGTGGCCAGAGAGAGAGCATCTGCTTTTAATTATTTGTTGTTATTGTGAGTTGTTAGTGTAGCATGAGATCGGATTAGCTTTCTCTTTAGATTTTTTTTTTTTTTTCGTTAACGTTTAACATTCTTAGTAGTTTGAAGTATAACTACTGATTGTATTGTGTGATGCAGTGAACTTTTGTATGAATATCATCTATAATTGGCGCTAAAAAGTGCTATTTATCCGATCAGCAGGATAATACTCAAGTACCAAATACTTCTATCGAAAACTGCAGAGGTCTGAAATATTTCTATAGGTAAAAATAAATTATATTAATTCATAATCAGACTTTTGTGCATTTAGTCCATTACAAACCCATTTGCCTGCAACAATATATTTTCAGTTAGATTGCATAATTACATTTTTCACAACATGTTCAGTAAGGTAAAATAGCTGAGGCAGATTTTTTTGTGGGGGGAGGCCACATCAGTATATGTACCATCCACCCTTATTTTTGTTAATTTGTTTCAGTATTTGCATGTCTAAAAAAATAATTTTGAGCTCTATCAAAATGTATAACCATATTAGCTGTGTTAAGTATTTCAAACCTAGGCTTTTTAATCATTTTAATCATTCTAAATCCTTTTCTAATTAAAGATAAATTGATGGTCATGCAATAAGCAAGTGTTTCTTAAAATGTATTTCAGTGTTCGTACGGTCCTTAAGAGTCCTTAAATTTTTTGGAATCGATTCTTGGTCCTTAAAAGTCCTTAAGACCAAAATCAGCAGAAGGTCCATAATTTTACTCATCTGAAATTTCTGTCTGCTTCCACGATTGCCATTTTGAGTGTGAATTTCCATTTTGGAGGAATATGTTTGGCAATTCACTGACATATATGGTTATCTTTTGAATGGGTTCATGAGTTATATTTTGTTTCTATTTTTAATATAAGTGATGGGATACTCGAGTTTCTAAGCAAGAAGTAAAACAAGCATTTCAAAATTAATTTTTTTCTAATAAAGAGCCCTTAAACAACTTTTCACTTTTAGGAATGTGATTTCTTTTATTAAACGGCTCTAAATTTGGCGACCTAATCAACATTTTGGCAATTTTAAGATCAGTTTCTATAGAAAATTTTTAATTCTGAGATCTGAGAATTTTCCAACGATTTTTTTGTAAACATCTTAACATTGATAAATTTCATAAAAAATAATGGTAATATATTGAAATTATATTTAAAAAATAACATAAAAATAAATCATTTTATTTTTTGCTGTCATATTATAAAGTTTCATTTTGGCAACTTATACAATATTTTGAATCTTAATAATGAACAAGGTTATTTAATTACCTATTTTAATTATTTATGACTAACTGCTTACCCTTAAAAATTATCTCTACATATTAAAGCGATTTTGTCTTTACTCACTTCCCCTATACTCACTGTAGCAAGATAAAACCAAAATGTAAAAATCAAGTAAAACTATTCTTTGCATCTAGTGGACTTAAAAAATATAACTTTCACTTCTGGTGCTTTAATGGCTTATTGGAGCCTTAAAGTATATTAACTGGGTTTCAACCCCTGGAACTCTACACGAAGCTGTGACCTTAACTGCATCAAACAGGGCCTGACTAACTTTCAACACTTGTCATTGTGTCTAAATCAGGCCTTTCAGGTTTGTTCTAATCAGCAGGTCTCTCTCTAGACAAGCAGCAGAGGTGACAATATTCAGTCTTTTGGTTATGAATCATGCTGATTATATCTTACTTCTCATTTTAACCCATGCTGTTTGACATAAAAATCTATCTGCTATTTACTAAACCGCTAGACTGACCAAGTTTGTGACAAATTGAGACATTTAATAAAAAAAATAAAAAATAAAAAAAAAAAAAATAAAAAAATCGACATAAAGCTGTTAGTAAAATGTAAATGTCACTTATCTTCTTTCAAATATGTCCAACTATTATAAGTGTAAAATATTTAATGCTGCTTGATAAATTTCATAAAGTTTATTTTATGCCCAAACTTATTAATAATTGTGTTAATTCTTGTTCAGTAATAATGCATTCTACTTACGGATCTATTTTATTTTTAGGATGGTATTACAAAAGTGAAATTCAGGCATAAATAATATTTTTAATTGAATTTATTCAGTTATTTGCTCATAGGTCCTTAATTTTGTTCATTAATGGTCCTTAAAAGTACTTAATTTCCATGTGCAGAAGTGTGTACGAACCCTGGTACTTTTGTGAGTTTTGCATTAATTTGAGATGTTGTAAGTGGTTTGACATATAACAATACGTGCTAAATCCTGACTTTGGTGTGTTAAGAATGCAAAATTTGGAAAGAACCCAATGCAGAATATTTATATCATTAAATGTTCAGTTCATTTTCGTTAGCTTTCCTGTTTCTAGAAGACTTTCTGTGTCAAGAACTTGTGTGTGATTTGCTATATTCACTGTCTCATGTCCAGAGTATGGATTGGTTGCAGTTTATATAACAGTATTGTGAACGTCTGTAAGAACACGGATAGTTCTTGACACTTGTACTGATGTAAAGGACTATCAGTTTATCAGATCATTGCATTTTTTCAAATACTGTATCCCAAAGGAGATTATATACATCCTTTGTAAGAAAAGTTCCAGGACAATTTTCTTTTATTTCTAAGTGTGCAGTATTAAAAAAGGGACAAATGTTGTTTTTATATTACTTGGTATGTATTCTTACTTGATATAACCTTGGCCGTGTTTCCAAACAAACTTACTAGTGGCAGGACTGTGCTTAGCAACTCATTGTTCTGATTGTTGTTGCATTCATTAAGGTGATGCAATGTATGCTGATTGTGAGCAAAGAGTGAACATTAAGTTCTGTATTAAGCTCGGGAAAACCCCTAGTTAAATGGGGAACATGATTAAGCAAGCATATGCAAGTGAGGCACTTTCAAGAAGTCGTATTTCGAGTGTTGCAAAAGGTTTCGTTAAGGTAAAGCTTCAGTGCAAGACCATTCCAGAGGTAGTTGCCCATCTATAGCACATACCAATGCATACATGGAGCATGTAAGGCTGTTATTGCAAGAAAACTGTCATGTAACTGTAAAATGCTTGTTTTATGATATTAGAAAAATGAACTTGAAATGTGATGTGTGTCATCAGAATTTATGCGAAGATTTAGGGAAACAGAAACTTAAAGCAAGAATCGCCCCTCACTTACCAACAGTTGAACAGAAAGAGGAAAGTCCAAGAATTTCTGCTAAACTATTGGCTAGAGACAGACGTGATGCCACATTTCACATTCGTGTTGTGATCCCTAAGATGATTGTGATTTTTTTCATGTTTCCATGAGTGGAAAGGGGACTGAAAGAAAAGCTTCATCAAGATCATGCATTATGAAATGAATTGCAGATATCCAATGGGCTTTGAAAAATGAGCTTGCAAGCATCGCAGTTGAAGATTTCCCCACATAGACCACCAGAAATGTTGTCCTGGATCTTTTCTGACAAAGGATGTATGTATTAGAAGACAATGTTCTTACTCGCACTATAAAATTGGCAGTAGTTTAAAATTACACAATTTACACAAATTACATCTTCTGTGGCCTGCACAATCTCTTGATCTCAATGCTGTTGAAATTATGGGAGATAAATTAGTGGGCAAGATTGATATATATTTTTGTCATCCATTTTCTTAAAATAAAATAGCCACTGTTTCAATAGAATGACTAAAATACCATTAAAAAAAGACTAAAACGTTGGTCTTCTGTATTATATTATTAAAAAGTTACTGCAATCCAGATATAGGTGTTTTAGTTACATTGTTTGATCTGTATGTATATAGTGCAAATAATCAAATTTTCAGATGGTAAAAAGTAATTATTTTAATTTCATCATAATCATAAATTTCCATAGTGCAATTTAAATTTTATATTAGAACACACTTACAGCTTTGATATTTGCAGACAAAGTATCCATAGAATTCTTCCTAATTGTTGTGGCTACGTCTTATCAAAAACGTAATCTTGATGTCTTTTTCTTTTCTTTTTTTTTTACCAGATCTCCTTTAAACTGAAAATAACAAAATTAATGTTTTTATATATAATGGCATAATATTGTATGATTTTTCCATGTTCAAATTTCACTCGAATTCTCATTCCACCATAATACATTAAAAATTCTTCATTGTTAAAGTTTTGTGTACTAGTTTTCCATATTTCCTTTGAGAATGTAGATGTCTAATCCATTCCATCACTTAGTGTGAAGTTTCAGAATTAACCATCATCTGCTTTTTGCATTGAATAAGAAACTTTTACAAATAGCATTTCACTAGTATATATTGGTAAGAATTTTCAGGTTTCGGGCAAAAACAAATTAAATCAAGTTATTCCTAAAAGTAAATGAATATCTTCTTCTTTCAGTAAGCATATCTACAGCATGATATGTATTATTCTATAATAGTTACATTTAACTTCATGAAGTCTCAGTATATTTTGATCTTGCATTTCTTAGGCTTCTTTAAATAGTGTTTCTGTAAGTGATGTGAATGAGTAATCTGATTTTCATAGTCATGTAAAACATTTTTAGCAATTAAAGATGAGCCTGGACCAAGGATTCTAGTTTTGGGACCGAAGAAATGTGGAAAATCATCATTAGTTCGTTTTTTGATCAATAAAACTTTGCATACGTGAGTACATTTTTCTTCTAGAGTTTTAGTATTTTTCACATTTACTGTTAGCAGCTAACAATGTATTTAATTCCTAGCTGCCAACAATCCCAGTTTTACCACTTAACTTGTTAATGACAATTTTTCATCACATTTCCCAGTAGTTTGCAGAATCTGCTAGTTTTTTTTTTTTTTTTTTTAGCTTTTCTTAAGGTAAAGGTTTCTAAGCAATAAATTAAAGTAATGAAACTTAAAATTGTGCAAATTCCATCCACCTATGCCTAATGATTTTGAGCATAATTCTTCGCATTAAATTTTATTTAACCGGAATTGTCTTAATCTGCTATAGATGTCCATAGAATATTTTGTCAAACTTAATCAATGTTTAACCAGTTAATATTTCTATTTAATTTTTGCTTTATATCAGTAAATGTTACATTATTGTGCCTGCACAGTTGCTTGTATGCTAATTATTTGATTTTATTTGCATTGTGTTTGAAAGTACTTAAGATAAATTAAAGCTTACCTTCCCTATGTGGGATTTCAGCATAAAAGTGTAAGGAAATTGCAAAATGTAATTAGCCAATCGACATAAAATATCTAATAAAATATGAATGTATAAGAATCATATTATAAACAGTTCAATAATCAACCTTGCATTATAAAATGAATTTAGTCTTCTTTTAATCTTTTGAGCGGCATGGCTTTTTGTATCTGTGCAAGAAGACCTGTATTTAAACAACTTTTATTAGCTAATTTTATATAATTACTTATTTTAGTCTTTGTTTTCACATACTTGTGTTCATTAAGGTGGTATTTACATTATTAAAGAAAGAAAGAAAGGAAAATATTTTAAATTATAAGCCATTATGTATCAAGTGACAAAATCTCATAACTGGATGAAGGCAGTCTTGCTGCACAGAGAGTTAAAATGGCATCGCTGTGCAATACTGAAACCTCCTGGAAACTGCATCCCCCCCCATGTGAACATCCCAGTTTGGAGATTGACACCTATGGAGTTGTCTTAATCTATTGTAGACAAAGAATTTTTATGTGGAGATTCCACTAAAGGTTTAATCAGTTAATATTTTAATTTATTTTGTTTTACATAGTATACAATATACACTGACTACCAATAAGTATTTGGACACCTGTGATAGAAAAGAAAAACTAACTTTATTCAAAATCAATAGTTGGTAGAGCTCCACGAGAGTATTACAGCGTGGACCCTCCGGGTATACTTCCACATCTTTGTATGACAGCTAGTGTATTTTTCTTCCACGGCTTGGAGAAACATGAAGTTCCTTCACGATTTTGCACGGGTAGTGCACCCTGAATTCGGCGCAACTTGTCCCAGAGGTTCTCGATAGGTTCAGGTCGGACTCGGGCAGCCAGTCCATTCGATGAACTCCATGGCACCATACCAAGCCTGGTTAATGTCGAAACATGACACCTGGCATTGTCATCCGGAAAGTAACAGGGGTCCAACCCGTAAAACTGCCACAACGAGAACACATTGTCATCCAAATAGTGCCGAGGCATCGGAGTGAGCTTGCCATGATGGGGACCGAGGGTCCCAGCCCATACCAGGAGAAACATCCCCAGAACATAATCCACCTCCGCGACTTGACTGTTGCACAATGCATTCTGGCAGAGACGTTCTCCAGGTAGACGCCAGACCCAGACCCTGCATCCGAAAGGTAAAGGGTGAATCTTGATTCGTCACTCCAAAGAACCCGTTTCAACTGATCTACGGTCCAATTTCGATGTGCATTAACCGAGCAGCACGGTTGGACTTTGTGATCAAAGGCTTATCGGCAGCAGCACGACCGTGAAAACCAAGCAGATGTGCTTCCTTATGGATGGTATTCATTGAAACAATACTCCCGGATGCCTGAAACTCCTCGCGGATGAGGGCTGTCGCTTAGGTGCGGTTCTTCCGAATTTCTCTGAACAGCACTCGCGTCTCTATCCCCCAGTTTCGTGGTCTGCCTCGGAGCACATTCTGACAATCACCGCTCACCTTCACTTTTAATCACATAGCCACTGTCGATATGGGTACTTTAGATCGCTAGATATGTCTCTTAAGGATCGCCACATTTGGATACCCGATAATTATACCTTTCTCGAAATCAGAGAGCTCCGAACTACGAGGCATCTTGCATACGACTAAAGCCAATGCTGTTTCCTACACGATATATACCGGCGGAGTCCGTGGCGTACCTTGGGACCGCAGATATCGTCATTTGCATAGGTGTCCAAATACTTATTGGTAGTCAGTGTATTGCTAAGTTTTTTTTTTTTTTAATCTGCACAAAAGTATCAGGGTTGCCATGCTACCTGGAAAACCAGGAAGAGTTAGGGAATTTCAGAGTTGATCAAAAAGGTCACAGAATTTAAATATTTTAACCAAAATTTGGAATGGTTGAATTTCATACGGCAATCCACCCCCCCCCCAAAAAGTGACTTTTGCAGCAGTACTGAAAGCGAATCACTTTCTTGACGAATTGTATATAGTACGAGCATCATTACATCAGCTGATGTAGAGCTAATTTTGACAGCATCAATCAGATTGTCTTTCAGAAAGGTAAAATAAGTTTCCAGTAACCTTTCAAATCCAAGAAGCATGACTTGCATGTTCTTGCAAAGAACAAGAAATGTATGCATGTTGAATGAAAGAAAATTCCACCTCTTGGTTTAGAGAGCTCTTTTCTGTCTTGTCATCTTCAGTTTAAAAAACCTGATAAGTAAAACTTTATAATCTTTTACACGTTATTAAATATTTTTATAAATGTGTGTTTACTTAACATTCTATCTTGTTTGTTTGCTTTGCCTCCTATTTTTTATTTGCCTATACAATTTTACGTTAAATTCCAAGAAAAATTGGTGGAGTTATTGCTCTAGTAATATCAAGTTAAAAGAAATCTATTGATGTTTATTGAATCATTATTGTGCATTATAAAAAAAATAATTGAACTGCTAAGCTTTTGAACATCGTTAGTGTTGTGGATATATCATGATTATCGAACTTTGAAATTACACAAGAAAATGTGATATTTTGTTTAGTTAAATGACAAAATATTTATTTATTCTGAATTTGATTTTTTGTTGTTTTGGTTTCTAGATGATCCAAATTCAAAATTTTATTTTCTGTTTTGATCTTTAGATAATCCAAACTAAATTTTATTTTCAAGAAACTAACGGTGTCGGAACTCGTGGCCAAATTCAGAAACAGATGTGTTAAATATAATAATGCCACCTTATACTCTTCATGTAGAAAAAGGGGATATTATTTAGCACAAAACAAAATCTTTTTTTCTCTTTAATAAATGCCTTTTTTTTTTTTTTTTTTTTTTTTTTTTGTCGTTTTGTGGTAACAGTTTTAAAAAGATAATAATAATCAGTCATCTGGTTAACTGTTTAGTATTATTATAACTCTAACGGTATTTGCCAAAATACCACAGATTATTGTAATTTAACTTTTGATTATTTTCAGTCTTTATATAAATTACTATTTTTATGTTATTCATGACATTTGATGTGGCTTTTTCCTTCTAAATTTATTTATTTATTAGTTAATAATATTTTGAAATTCCAGGCAATATTCTGTGATATACTTCTGAAGCTAATTCTATCGGTATGATGATATATCATCATGAAATTTAAAACACAGTTTTTACTTCCTCGTACAAAGATTATAATCACGAAAAATTTTAAATATCACACTACAATGAAAACATCCATTTTGCCGCTCTTGAATCCATTTAAGCAATGTTTTTTCATGACATCTGTATGTACGGACAGGATAGAGGAATCTTTTTCCCAAAACAGATTGTAAAATTAATTTGAAGTGGGTTCAAAAGAGAATTTTTTTTGTGTGTGTGACATGTGTACATACATACTTATGTATCTCGCATAACTGAAAAACAAGCAGCCTGAGAGTGTTGAAATTTTGTATATGGGACTGATGTAACATGTAGTTGAGCACCTCCCTTTTTGGTTGCAATAGGCCGTACCAAACATATATATTATAAGATAACTTAGAAAAAGCTGCAACGGATTGACAGTGGTTCTCTGCATTATAACTTAGAGATTTTATTGCATAGTTAGAAAGATGACACTTGATGGAGAGACTTGTAGACAGACGTGGCCAAATCAAATATAATTCTTATTGCTGAATACGAACTAATTATCAAAACATATTCTTCATCGCACATGATCATGAGAGCCATAGGCACCCCACAGTTTTTATATAGAATATCACATTTTAGATAATGTCATAGTTAGCAGCACAACAAAGCAAAGGGAGCAAAGTAGCATTTTCATTGCAAGGTAGCTGAAGTTAAAGTGCGCAATTAGCCAGTACGGAGGCTCACCAAGAGAAGGTTTTGATTTAGGTTAGAAATTTAATCTGCATGCAATGATTTTGGAATTATCAAGAAACTAAAAGTTGTTTAAGTGCTATTAAGCCTAACAAAGCTATCATTTGTATACATTTGAAATTCTTAGTAAAACAGGGAATTAAGTTAGTTTGTACACCAGTCTTTCAGTGTCTTTTTGCTTAGTGGTGTAGAGACATTAGGTATTTTTTCGGGGGGGGGAGCAAGCAAGATGAAAAATTAGCAACGCCTTCGCCGGTAATCGAAGCATAGACCTCTGGAATACTGGCTCAGCGTGCAGACCATCTCATCATAAAGGCATGCTAGGAAGGTGGGAGAAATGCCTTTTATATTCCCCCTTTTAAAGGGCAACTGGGATTTTTAGGGGACCCAATCGCCAAATCGTGGGTGCGGAGAATCATCGTCCAACACCCTTTTAGTTCGGCCGTCAGTATAGAAACATTAGGTATTTTTTGGAAGCAGGCAAGATGAAAAATTAGCAACGCTTTCGCCTGGAATCGAACCGGCCCAGCGTGCAGACCACCTCACCACAAAGGCACGATAGGAAGACGGGAGAAGTACCTTATAGCAGTAGCGAAAGTAAAGTTTTGTACATCAAAAAATTTCACTTCCTGCCCACTG